TTCTCAAGAACTGGGTATTCGTTGCACGTCATTATGCGCTATTTTAAAAAAAGACTTGCATTTGCGGCCATACAAAATTCAGTTGACCCAAAAACTACAGCCTACTGACCATGGAAATAACGATTTCTACCGACAACTGATAATGAGCTATGAAACCCTCTTCGATATGAACGGATTTGTTAATAAGCAGAATTGTTGTATTTGGGCATTAGACAACCCTCGTGTCATCCATGAATGACCACTACATCCTCGTCGACTCACAGTTTGGTGCGGTGTTTGGTATGTAGGACCTTGCTTCTTTGAAGATGCTGCAGGTAATTATCTTACTGTACACTGGTGAGCGCTACCGTGATACGGTGCAACAATTTAACCTGCAAAACATGTTGTTCCAGCAGGACGGAGCAGCTTGTCACACAGCTAGGAAAACAATTAATTTTTTGCGGTCAATATATCTGGAACGTATAATTTATCGATTTGGTGAAACCAACTGGCCACAAAGTTTACCGGATTTAACGGCTCCTAACTTTTTTATGGGGATTTGTGAAAAATACGGCTTATGCCAACAAACCTAATATTGTAGAGCAGCTGGAGAACAATATTACGGAAGCGAATGAAAATATTCCCCCCGAAACCTACCAAAAAGTGGCGGCTTCTAGAGGCGGACATTTGTCTGATATTACACATACATAATTTCGAAGTTTCCATAAAAGATTAAGATGAAAATATGGACGTATTATATATCATTTTACAAATATTCAAGATACAAACCAGTTACACATCGGCCACCCTGTATATATTTCAAGAAGTACAAAAAATGACAATTTTTTCAAAAATTGTTGTTTTGTTTAAATTGTAAACAGGTACATGGTAATTTGGGAATATACTCAATAATAGTTTCTGAAAATATTGTGCCTACTCAGATTGTATGTGTGGCACAGGTAAAAATAGGAATAGTTAGCAGAGACGCAGAAAAAACATGCGGATTGAAATCAAAAACGATGACCTCGATAGTGCACCCAGAAATATGATTACCGGTTTTGAAAACTAGCCGCTGTCAGTATATTTTGGCTCAGTGGTATAACATCTTCCCTGCAACTAAAGGTACCGACTTGAATTCCTGACAGCAGCAACTATGTTTTCCATTTTTTCTAAGTTTGTAGCGCGTAAGTGGTAGTGCTGCTAGATATTATTTATATTGCGGTCAAATGGCAATTATGCATCAAAATATAAGCGACTGCTCGCTCATATTAACATTGTGGCGTGCCCAGCTGCTAATGGCCAATAGTAACGCAAGCATTTGATGATTTAGATATTTGCCCGGAAACAAGATTTCACTAAAAATAATGTTGAGCTGAGGTCTGAAGAGCAGACTCGTTAAGCTCTTGACAGAACTATTTCAAATGACCACAACAACATTTGTATATATATATATACTCAGTGTACTTCAGCTATGCGCATATATGTATGGACTAAGCACAGCTTTAACGGCCTGGCCACAGGACATTCGCCACAGCGAATATGCGCGCGGTGCGAACGGCGAAGCGTCCAGCCACTGAAATAAACGCATAGAAATGTACTTGGCGGCGCGGCGGGAGAGTGAAAAAAGACATCAATCAGTACCGCACAAGCCACGGAGTCAAGCGGCAGTCGCGGCGAATAGTGCAGTGACCAAACGAGTTAATTTTTTTCGCCGCGATAAATGAACACCGAGACTTTTATTACTTACAGGGTGACATTTAATTAGCTAACCATATTTTGGACAATGATAGTTCCGAAAAAATTTAGTTACGAAAAAATTTTTGGGGAAGGTTTTTCATATTAAGGGGTACTATCATTCCCTAAAATATGCTCAGATAATTAAATGTAATCCTTTATATAGATAGGTACACACCTTAATGTTAAAAAGAATTTTTCAACGGCACTTAAAATTCTATCTGCGTTGACTTCTTTCCCATTCTGGTTGAATATTAATTAGAAGATGATCGAAGGTTTCGATACTCTTTCTGGTGTACCTACTCGAAAAAAATTACTAGATACATTCTGTATTTATGTTCTATTAAAATCGTGCATTCTCCAAACTCTTCCAAATATTATGTACTGAAACTAAAAACTATTACTTTCTAAGCAATAGCGAGATAACGTTAATAAAGACATTTCTCTCTGGGCGCGGCGCCGAACGCGGATGGTCGCCCCGCTTCCCAGATCATCTTTCGCGCCGCCCATCCCTGTGGCCAAGCCGTAAGAAAATTAGCTCTATTTCATAAGTGAATACAGATATGAAAATCTCATAGAAACAACTTCTGTTAATTATTCATCATGCTACAAAACTGTCTCGACAACCTTCATCTATACAGGTTGTCCCAGAAATAACATGCCAAAGTGACACGGGAGGTAGATTGGGTTCAGAATAATCAGATAAAATCAACATGACCTTAGTAAAAGTTTTCTAGTTTTAGAGATATTGCCACTTTTAAGTTTTTTCAAAAAATCCATACGTTTTGCTCCTTTTTGCCTGTTACGGCTATGAAGAACTTCTAATTTTTTTCCTGGGCTACCATTATTATTCATTTCATTGCACAGTATGCTAAAAAAAACTAAATAATTACATTTGGCTCCATTGAGAAAAATTATATTTTTAAAAGAGCATTAAGTAGGTTAATGTTTAAGATTATTAGCCACTTCAGACTGATACATTTTTTTCACAGTAATTAGTCAAGCTTTAGTAGGTTTTCACATGGAAACAAAATGTAATATTTTTTTAGCATACCCTGCTAGCTTTCAATGAAATGAATACTCTCTTGTCTCAACCAACTATTTATGATAGTCCAGGAAAACAAGTCATAAGTTAGAAGTTCTTCAAGTAGTGATTTTTTTCAAAAAACTTGAAAGTGACAATATCTCGAAAACTATAAAACTTTTACTAAGGTATGCTGATTTTATTTGATTTATCTCAAGTCAATCTACCTCCCATGTCACCCTGGCGTGTCTTTTCTTGAAAAATCAAAAACCAAAAAGTTTTTCAAAAATCTTTCAAGTACCTGTCCACCACAGGATCCTGAATATTAGTCACCTAAATCGAAATTTTCATCCATTATAGAATTCTTCCGAGGTTTTGGGAATACTTTGTGTTTTCTTACTGGGGCTATGCGGCATCGTAACTTCCTAACGGACTAAATAATTCAATTGCATTTTTTTCCAACTGAAGAAAGATCCTTTGTCGAGATGGTTCTTAGATGGCTTGATGACAATGGCTTGAGCTATTTGGATATAATGGGGGGTGAACATTAGGAGCGATATGGAGTGAACAACTCATATTAAGCGATCTAATAAGCCTTAATGGGGAAATGGTCTGATTTCTAGGTTACTATATCGTTTTCTAATGAAAAATGGTAAAGTCGTTCAGAAGATGTTGAACTTTTTTTACTTTCGGCAGGTGTTTGGGAAAGTTCTCATATGCATTAATACTTTATATTGTATTTTACAACTTTTTGCAATTCAACATGATTTTGTGGCTTTAAAAATCACAACGTATTGTTTTTCCACTGATGAGCTCGTCTACTTATAATAAAACATTAAAACCAGTCAAAATCAACAAACATGCTAAGAGTAAGGAACGCGCATGCATATTACCATAAACTGAACGAAAGAATGAAAACTGATTCTGGTCCTGAGATACGATGACGCCTCAAGGCTTCCTCGCTACAAGGCCCGATACATTGGCGTAGACTAGCAGCGCTTGGAACTTGTTTCGTTGAGAGTTTAGTGTCCGCGTGATATTATTTGGTGTTGAAAGACCTGTTATTTCTGTTGTTATTGTTCGGGTTATACTTATATTTCCTTAACCATGGAATTTGAGACTGGGAGTGGAAGTACTGGAAGCTAGGGAACAAGTAGAAAGCTTCGTAAGGCACTAAAAGGATTCGAAAGAAATCGTGCTCAATTATTTGAACAAGACTATGTCGCAGGGAGGTGCACTTACGCGTTGCGAAAGCGTGACATGCGTCCCAGAGTGGACTGTTCGCAGGGTGGTGCATGAACAGAAGAAAACTGGAGCTACTGCTGATCCAAAGTTCCATTTGAAGAGACGAAAGGCCATTAAACTAAATGAAGACAGCAAAATGGCGTTAAGACGAACCGTACATTCATTCTTTATTAGGAATCAGATACCAATCATTAAGGCTATATATACAAAGATCAATAGTGATGACATTTTACGTCGAAGTTTTAAGGAAAACCCAGCACGAACTTAATTTTCGTTACGAAATACGTTATCGGAAGTCAGGATTAATAGAGAAACCTGAAATAGTCGCGTGGCGTCGAAACTACCTACGCGCAATCACTGAATATAGACGACAGCATAAAAATATATTATTTGGACGAGACGTGGGTTAAAAAAACCTGGGTAAACAAAAATGTACTAAGTAACCGACAAGCAAGCATTGAAGGTTTGTCAACAGGTCTTCGTGCAGCGTCAGGAAAAGGTCAAATATTACACGTATTGGCAGCGTTAGTGGCTTTTTAGCAGGATGCAACTTGACTTTCGTCTCTAAGAAAGGAGGTGACTATCATAACGAAATGAATGCCAGCTGCTTCGAGAGCTGGTTTCAATGGGTGCTTCAGCGAGTTGACGCCACCTCTGTGGTCATCATGGATAATGCTTCCTACCGTCGTCGAGCCGTACGTGTACCAATATGGAGTCTTTAAAGTGAGATGCATCAATGGTTGCGCGAATAGGTCATTCCGTTTTACGATTCATGTGTGAAAACGGAACTGTACGAAACAATTAAGGCCCAGGCAGTTTGACTTTAGTAAAAACAAAACGACAACAGATACCATACTCCTCTTTCTCATATATGTGAATGATTTGCTGCAAGCATTCAAAAACGAACATGTATAGAGATCCATACTGTATGCCGATGATGCAACATTTGGAATCGCTGTAGAGAGGGGCGTGGACGCAGCGCGGATGCTCGGGAGCGTCCTGGATCGGGCTAAGGCGTGGTTTCTCACAAACCAGCTTGTTCTGAATGAAGCAAAAACTGAAACTCTTTGTTTTGAAACTAAACCTGTCAGTACGGTTGGAACAACGACAAAAACTAAATTTCTGGGTGTAGTGTTGAGCACTAGTCTGTTGTATAATGACTATGTAAATATTTTATGTAGTAAATTAAACTGGCCAATTTATGCTATACGGCAAATAAAATATACCGTCAACGAAATAGCTGCAATTACAGCTTATTATTCTCTTTTTGATTCTATTCTACGTTATGGACTTTTAGTTTGAAGCTCTGCAGCTAATATACATATTGAAAAAATGTTTAAAGTTCAGAAATCTGCAATAAGGTGCATTGCTAGTTTAAAGCAACATGAATCGTGTAGGCCTTGCTTCAGATCATTGAATATAATAACTTTGTATGGCCTGATTATCTATGAAAAATATGTGTCAGAAAAAACATTTCAGACTTTTTTAAGTGTGCCGATTTTCACTTATACAACACAAGACATTGCAATAATCTGGTACTTCCAACAAACAGATTGGCTAGAACCAACAGTGAAGAAATCAAATTGTACAATGCGTTGCCAGATGAGGTGAGATCGCTTCAGCTGAGCAGATTTAAATGTAAATTGAAATCTGTATTAACTAGAGCTTGTATTTACAGCTTTGAGGAATATTATGCTTTGGCAAGAGATAGGCAGGCCTTCTTGACTAAATTGAATGGATAATTTAATAATGTTCTTGATATTTTGCTATATTATTATGGTTAGAGTACTTTTATGTCTGCGATACTGCACTTTTCTTTTTTCAATACTGACATGTCTATGAATACTCGTGTATTTTTTGTATGATCATTAAAGATTATTATTATTATTATTATTATTATTATTATTATTATTATTAAACATCACAAACCTGCGAACATTAGTTACGTGATTGATGAGATATCCCGTCATTGTAGTGTCACTGTGCTACATTTACCGCCTAACCATTGTGAGCTGCACCTAATAGAGCTCATCTTGATTCAAATGAAGGGCTATATTGCGCGCCATACAACTTTTAAGTTACCAGATCAAGGCTTTGCTTGAGAATCCCATGCAGCTAGTAACGACTGCAGCGTGGCAGAATGCTCTCCGTCATGTTGAGAAGGAAGAAGCAAAAATGTGGCAGCTTGACCACTACATCGACACCATGATGAAGCCAGTTATAGCTAATCTTGGCGAAGAAGGCAATAGCGACAACTATTACTTTCAGATGGAAGTGGAAGCAACGACGAATGAAGAGAGGACTCAACTAGCACATCTCCAAATTTCTGATCTATAACGTATCTCAAGCCATTTCGTTTTTTATTAAACATATAAATGAAATCAAGTTCACCCACATTAAAAATGCATACCCCGCCACTGACAACCCGACTGCCGGTGGTTAAGTGATGTTCACGTGAACATTGATGAGTCATTACAGTTTTAGATAATTATGGTATAGACAGACATAGTAAAAATAACACGCGGAATACAGACACTGGTTGACTTGAAACTCTTTCAACAAACTTGCGACACTTGCAGTCCCTTCAGTAACTTATTGAATATTTTAATATCCAGTATATTGGGTGAGTTGTTTCCCTCGACGTATTTCGAGAACGCTGGATATAAATTGTCCTTGCCGCCTCGTATTTTTTTAATGGACTTCCCCATTCATGGCAAATTTACGTTTATTCTGATATACATACATATACCGGGAGTTCGTATATCAGTAAGCCCGGTATAGTCGATATTTTATATCACTTGAATAGTTCTTTGCAACTACAGGTAGAAGTTGCGCCATTGATCGCACAATTCGCTTTTGTGCTATGGAAGTAGTCTGAAGTGCTGATTAGGAGCCCCAAAAATAGATTCCAGACTTAATCCTAGACTTTACCAGACCATAATATTAAAATAAGACTATGATAAACATGAGGAAACAGCAATCTCACCTTACAAGCATACGGAGTGCTACCCTGTACCTTTTAAATTTTATTGAGAGGTAGTACATAAACTACTTATAGAGGGATTCAATGTTCAATTTGAAAGCCACTTACTTGGTGGCGTAGTGACAGGGGGTCGTCCTTTCATGGCGAGAGATGCGGTCGATAGAACTGGGTTGTCGGGACCATGCCTATTTTTTGGAAAACCTTTTGAGTACCTTCCATATTCTACCGACATGCACAACTCTACTGTCTGTTCATTCTGTTAATTAGCTGCCTTGATACTAATCATAAAACAATATAATAATGGCCATGATATTTCTCAATTATATTATAAGATATTAAAACACATTGCATGGGGGAACGGTGGCATCCTACCGCATGGAAGTTACACCTTGCATGGGGGAACGGTAGCTTCGTACTGCTAGGAAGTCACGCCCGATATACATACCTTAATAATCTGGTACTTAGACAGATATTCTAAATTTACAGATTGTCACGAAAAGCTCTGACGTTACCTCTGATTCGGAGATAACCGAGCAACATGATAACTTTAAAGTAACTATCCCTATACACATCCTGCCATGAGGTACTTTCAAAGTCCAACGATTGCCTCGGCGTCATCATGGAAAAGAGCTCTGAGGAGCAAAGCGCGTTGGTGTAGCGGTAGAAATGAGCTAGATCGCCGACGGCCCACCGATGCGAAAGGAGCCCAAGAATGTCTGTTAGAGAAGAGTCATCGATCAGTCGGGCCGCCCTCCTCTGGTCAAAAATAAAGGTCTTCAGCAACGAAGAAGAAAATACGGCTACTGTTGTTAAAATTCATCAAAAACTTTTCTAGCGTGGAGAAAGAGAATATGGAAGAGAGCTCAAAATTTCTCAATAGATAAGGAAATGATTTTAGGTGCAATGGTCAGTAAAAAGAAAAGCATATTAGACAGCAAAAAAAGTAGCATAGTTTCCTGGAAACAGAAAAGGTCGTTTTTGTAAGATGAAATTCCAGCCGCCAAATTCGTCAAAATAATTCGGCCGATGGCAGATTATTTCTTGCCGTTTTGTCACTTTGTCTCTGCTATACGCATTCACGTCACAGTTTTCCGCTTTAATTGATACTTATCGATAAATTGATATGAATTTGTGAATTTTAGAATAAATGCCAATGTCTGTGTCAACAAACGTCAGGTATTGCTATAATTTAACTACATCCTTTCTAGTCAACTCATAGATGGTCTTCTGGTTAAAGTTAACTACCATTTTACTATAAACATGATACTGAAAAACGCTTTTTCATAGATAACTATAAGTGGAGACCAAAGAGTCCTAGTTAACCTGCGACTGAATAAGCGGCAGGGGTATTATGTAAAAAACCTAAAAAACATAAAAAGACCGACGAAATGTCATCTTGCAGACTAGGTAGTTTTTGGTCTGCTAATAGTTCATTCCACGTTTGCTCGCCATGATCGCTGTTCGCTGACGTTTAAGCAACACGCACAGCTACAAAACTAGTTCACAACAAGTGGACAATAGCTTGTATTAAGTTAACAGCTTGTAGGAACCACACAGCAACCCTGTGTTGTGTGAGTCAGTAGACTACACAGTCGAGCAAGTTCGCAAGCACACAAGACCGCGGCTCGCACTGTGATCAAAATCAAATCGTACAATTCTAGGTCCAACCAAAGTTACGATTTTTGCCATACACAAATTCCTAAATTAATTTTTGGATCAATTTAAAATAACCTAATACCAGTTAACCACAGCACGGCATCCCTTCAACTGGCGCACTTCACCCTCTTTGCTCTTCCCCCTTCCTTCCTTTCTTTCTTCTTCCTTTCTTTCTCCCTGACTTCGTCTGGTATCTGGGCAACCAGACCTGACAGACCTACTGACCTAGGATATTTTAACATACAGCGAAGGTCCCACGGACCACCCTGACGGACAATGACGAATAGAAGAAGAACATCATGCAGAAAAACCTACTCTATGTCACAAAAAACCTACGGAGTATCAAAAAACGACAAAATGTCACTTTTCAAGATACCTAATGTACGTGCTGGATTAACTATTGCAAGTGTCAAGTGAACCTTTTCACATGCAGAAAAGTGTCTAAGATTATTGTCTATGCTTACAATATACTGATATTAACTGACCCTCTGAGAGCATGGTGCTTAGGTTTCTAAACGTGTAGAAAATAACTTGTCATCGGTTGACCTGTACTATAACCATTACGCACACATTGAACTTCTCCTGGGGGGATAATCTACTGACGCCGCGCCGTCGACCTGCTTGGCGAAGGACGCGGTCGGCAATGTCCTCGACGGCGATTCCCATTGACAGAGTCCACGACACGACCACGGCCTTCGACATCTACGCAGGAAGTTGTTGGAATTCATTTCGACGCACTCGGAGAATTCGCGGAGAATTGCCCCACGCGTGAGGCTGGTATACAGGGTTTGTCCGGAAAGTAATAGGACTGAGTCGATTTAAAAAAATTTATTGAGTCAATCGTTACAATTCTTTAAAAACTTTCAAAATAGGCTCCTGCTGCGTCGATGCAGCGCTGCCAGCGCGATTTCCAAGCATTGAAGGCATTCTCCAGAATAGCCTTGAGAGCCGCGGTGCATGCTACTTGGAACCCCTCTGTCGTCCCAAAATGCTTGCCTTTCATCGGCCTTTTCAGGCGAGGAAACAAAAAAAAGTCCGGGGGGCACATCTGGGCTGTAGGGCGGCTGCGGAAGCCTTGGTCAGGTAGCTGTTCACAAGAAAGCCGGTGTGAGCCGGGGCGTTGTCGTGGTGCAACTTCCAGTGGGCTGCGATGTCTTGTCAGACCCGACTGACCATTCGTTTGAGTCTCCTGAGCACTTCCACGTAAAACTTGGTGTTGACGGTTTGTCCAGGAGGAACAAATTCATGGTGGACGATGCCTTTGATATCAAAAAAGAAAATGAGCTTTGTTTTCACTGTGGATTTGCTCATTCTTCCCTTTTTTGGGCGAGGAGACGCCGTCGTGTGCCATTCGGAAGATTGCCTCTTTGTCTCGGGATCATACTCAAAGATCCACGACTCGTCACCTGTAATTACGTTATTCAAAAATTGGGGGTCACTTTCACACATGTTCAAATTTTCTTGGCACACTTCCACTCGCCGCAATTTCTGGTCGTCAGTGAGCACTTTTTGGACCATCTTCGCGCACACCTTGCGCATGTCCAAATGCTGTGCCACAATGTCATGAACCACAGATTTTGGTAAATTTAACATCTGGGCAGTTAAACGAATACTTAGTCGACGGTCTGAGTTCAAAACTTTGCGCACACGCGTCTCACATTATCGGTGTTTGTCGAAGTCGAAGGTCTTCCAGCACGGTCTTCATCAGCGACCTCTTCCCGGCCCTCCAAAAAGTCCTGGTGCCACGGAAACACACCACTTCTTGCTAAAGCAACACCTGGGTAAGCCTGCTTGATCATATCAAACGTCTCTGTCGCAGATTTACCGAGTTTCACACAGAATTTAATCGCGTACCTCTGCTCTAACGAACGCTGCATTTTCGGCTTGCACCACTCACAGAAACACGCCGCGCCAAAATGCCTGTCCTGACTCTCCAAGTGCTCGGAGACAACTGACCAGCCGCTCATTCGTTAGCTAGGAACGCCCTCTACCGTATCCAGTCGGTGCTCGCAGTCGTGGCGGAAGAAAATGAGTCCTATTACTTTCCGGACAGACCCTGTACATTATTTGATTCGATTAGTTCCGTATGGCGCTGCCAGTTAATATCCTAAGTATTTAATTACGCTTTGCTGGTGGTAAACATGCTGAAATACAATCATTTGTTAGTTCGGTATGTTTGGACACAATTCGGAATAGTCGGCTA